GTTTAAAGTAAACTGTAATATTTTGTAATCAAATTTTTATTCTATATATTTTGTTTGTTCTGAAGACAAATAAAATACATGGTAGATTAGGCTACGTTTTGCAATAATTATAAGGATATACTTATTCTGTAAATCAGATCTTTCCATAGCTAAATTTCATAATTATCTGTAGCTTACCTTACAGACAGATATGGATTAACTACTTGTTGAGGGCTAAGTACAAGAGAAATAGGGTGTTATATCACAATTAATTATAACATTGCCAGGTTTCTCAGTAAAGTGTAGCAGGTAAATCTATGTTGCTGGTAGTTTGATTGGTTACTGGCAAGGAGTAAAGTGTTAATTGCTGGATAAATATATGTTTGTCAAATATTGATGTTTGCCTATTGCTGATAATCAATGTCCAATAAATCTAAGTTTATTTGATTGCCAAATACTGATGTTTGCCTATTGCTGATTACATATTCTCAAGTATACGACTGCATAGCTAGATGTGTTTGCATTCTGCTGAATTATAAACTCTATGATAGCAGTGTAGTTACCGTGAGGCTGACAAGCATTTGCCTTTGACGGCACTTTCAGGAGGGCGGCAAAAAAGCTGCCCCCTAATTTCCTTGGCAAATGCCTTGCCAGCCTCTTGTCCTGGGGGGCCCAGGAGCTGGCCGGCCGGCCACCTCAGGGCCCCCCCGAAGGCTGGCATGCGCTGATGTTGTGGGGCGCGCAAGGGAGCACTGTCCCCTGAGCTCTCTTCTGGTCAGCTGCACAGTGATACCAGAGCTGGAATATGACGTCACTCCGGCTCCGGCATCACTAAGAGGCGTGCGAGGGAGCTGAGCAGGGGGCTCGGAGCTGCCTCACCCCCTCCAATATGAGCCTGTCTGCCCGCCCACCCGACCACCTGCCCAGCTAGCAGCAACCCCACTGGACCCCAGAGAAGAATCGACTACAGCACTCCCACAGGTACAAAAATTGTGAGTTTGTTAGTGTGTGTCTGTTAGTGAGTGTGTATCTGTTAGTGAGTGTGTCTGTTAGTCAGAGTGTTAATGTGTCTGTTTGTTCTGTTAGTGAGTGTGTTAGCTTGTGTCTGTTAGCTTGTGTCTGTTAGTCAGTGTGTGTCTGTTAGTCAGTGAGGGTGTATGTGTGTTTGTCAGTGTGTGTGTATCTGTCACTGAGAGTGTGTGTCTGTTAGAGTGTGCATCAGTAGGTGTATCTGTGTCTGTCTGTCAGTGTGTGTGTGTGTGTGTGTGTGTGTGTCTGTCTGTCACTGAAAGTATGTGTCTGTGAGTGAATGTGTATGTCTGTTAGTGTGTCTGTCACCTAGTGTACACCCTGTTCCAAATTATTATGCAAGTGTCAAAAAGATTAAATATTTTATTTTCCACTCTCTCTTGATTTGCTAATGCTTTTTATACTGGTGAACAAATGTTACTTCTGTAAAGCTGTCCTTCCTGACACTATCCTTTCTGACAATGTATATTCTGGAAAAAACTTCTTACCCACAGCTTGTGTCACCTGATGTCTGCAAAACTCAGTTTGTGGCTCTCTTCCCATTTCTCTCTGCTTCTCTTGGCAAACTTATTAGTTCCTTTGGGAAAGGAATGTCAGTGGAACACCTGTTAACCCATCCTTACAAGATTGTTGTTTTGATGTTATTGCTGACTATGAGCCAATTGACAGGCAGCTGCCTTCTCATACACTTCTGACCAAGTTCAAATTTCCTGCAAATCCTTCAAATTCTCTACTCAACCCTACTTTTCCTCTCTAATGAATAACTATACTTTTTTTCAGCTACTCTATACTGCAAGTTACTTTTTTCCCCTCTCTTGTGTACACAACTGTATTGTTGAAATTCACCTAAAGGATGTCACAAAGGTAGAATCATTCTTTAAAAAAGTTACATTTTGTTTTATCAGACTGACCACGGCTATCCATGGAATCCCTTCTCTTTAGAATTGAGCATTATCAACTTGGGTAATTTATTTACACCATCGCTTCCATCCCTCCTCACATAACTAGTGGTGTCACAGTCCATTCTACTCTTTAGGCTTTAACTTGATGGTTTTCCCAAATATGTTTAACTAGATCCAGGTGATATCCCTCGCAACCATTATAGTGCATAATTGTTCTACTTGTTGTGAGATTATATTCCACTCTGCACTAGATTAGTATTTTGGAACATCACTTTCTTTCTGTTAACAATGTTTTTTTTTTTTTTTTTATTTACATTTGCTGTTTACATTTTCTTTGTAAAATGGCAAAGCTCTACAAAATATGCTGCTGTTATAAATAAAATAATACAATGAAGTACAGTATGTAAGCCAATTACGTGAATAACAGTGTAACAGCAAAGGATTAAGTTTAGTTAGTTTCTAGCCATTCAGGAAAATTTGTGGCTTTAGCTACAGTTTACACAACTTGGTCATATAGAGAATTAAGAAAATTAATACAAATCACACCTCACTGATGTAGCAGTTCATTTTCAGAATGTTTTAGTAACATTAGAAAATGTTTTAAGTGTAATATTAAAACATTTGGGGACATTTTTTTTTTTTACAAATTAATTTACATGCACACGCTTTGTACCTGTTGATGTTCATGGTCAGAACAATAAGATAATGACTGTGATGATGAAAAGTCACTGCATCTTGACAAGGATGATCTTGTTGGTGAAGGTGCATTATCAGATGAAGGACAAATTGGCTCATGTTTTCTTGATGATTTTTCAGGCTTCAGTAAGTTGAAATAAGAACTAAGATTTGAGTTGACAGGTGTATCAATGTCCCCTTTTGACTTTAGATTTTCACTGGGGATTTTATGAAATGGTTTAAAATCAGAATGTGAAAAATTATTTGTTTCTGTGATATACATACTTGTAGAAGGTGATACTGAAGGGCGATGGTCTATATCAGTCAGATAATAATGGTCTCTTGCCTTGAAACTAGCACTAGGAGTGTTGTAGTTCCTTGTGTTTGGAGATACAGTTTGTGTTTGACTGATAAAATTAGACTGGGAATCTAATATTTTATGAGGAGAGACTGGTGGGGACAATGTAACTTTTCTGGCTTTTCCAACAATTGAATATTTTTTTAAAGGTTTATAATTATATTTATTTAAAGGAGGTTTAACATTTAGTGGTGATAAATTTTCTCTGCTTGTAGAGGGTGAAGAGATATATTTTCGAGGCCCTAAACCACATGAAGGTGGTTTGAAATATACTGCATCTGGAGATAATGTTCTCATTGGCCTTTGATGAAATGAGGATTGAGGCTGAGAGATATTTGACTCTGAAGCGGAAGGGAGCATATCAGATTGCTTTTGAAACTGCACTGTTTTGAATTCATTTGAATTATTAAGAGAGAAACATGAAAATGATTTTCTGGTGGCTGTCAATGGGTTATCAGTATTCTGTAGATATAAATGTGATTGAGATGGGTGGGTTGCTAAATTATATTGATTGACATCAGGAGCATGTGGTCTTTTCTGACTAGATTTTTTTGATCTCAGTAAAGAAGTTAAAAATGACAGACGAGATGGAGCACGTGAATTAATTTCATGACTTGGAGTTGGAGACAATGGGGCGCTGGATAAAGTGGAGGAGGAGCCATAATAAGGTGATTGGAGAGTACTAGGACTTGGGCAAAGGGGATACTTAAAAATGCGAATTGGCAAAGGTGATAATACATTTAACTGTTCATTTGAATTTCTCGGTAAGAATGGAACACATTGACTTTGAATTTCTGAAATATTACCAAAACTAGAACCTGTTTTAATGCTATCAGTTGGATCACGTGATTGGGTTAGCGGGGATTCCCTGAGAGAATTTAGATTTTCAATGTTCAATTCCTGACTTTCATGTGATGACATGTGTTTGTTAGAGGCAAGTGAAAATCTCTCTACAGAATGATTTTCATGTGTGTTAACAGAAGGACAGAATGATGAATTGTCATTCTCTTTAGACAGTATGGGATACTTATTATTAGATAATGTATAATTATGTGTGTTCATTACATTAGTATATCGTTGTCTAAACTGCAAAGGTGAAGCAGACATTGAAGAGTAGAGCTGAGGACAAAAAAAATAAAAAAAATAAATTGACATATGTCAAACAACAAAACACAATATAGCATACAAACTACTTACATGGCCTTTTGCTTTTAAGATACTTTGATTCAAACATTTTGTGATTCCTTTTGTTATGTCTTATGCTTTTTAGTATATGTTACTAACAGATTCTTTAAATGGGGCAACCATGATGCAATAAAATGAACTGCTTCTGCTGATGTATTTAGTATTGAGCATAATTGCAAATCTTCCACAATATTTCTCACCCTGAAGGAAGGACTGGCCCAAGGGTATACTAGGCCAGCATACATTTCAGCTGGTGTGAGACCGCATAGGGCGCACCAGCTAGGGGGGTGCAAGGTGGAATCGGTGGGTGACCAGCAGGAGTGGAAGCACTCCCCTCCTGCCGGTCACTGCATGTAGTGTAGCCGAGCGGCAGAAGAGATTCTGTTGCCCTAACCAGCCTGACAGGAAGTACTCTCAGTGAACTCCAAACTGCTACTAGAGGTTTTTGGGAGTCCTCTATATTCAATCACAATCACAGGCCACTGGGGCTCACCCAATGTATGAAGTACCACAAGGGCAATATAACATAGGCATAGGCAGAAAGACAACAGCACTATGGGCAGTGGTTGATGTGGGACAGGAGGTAATGATCATAGCACACAGTTTGACAGTATAAAATCAGGCACAGTATGTACAGGCTGTATATCAAAAGTGGTCAAATGACTGGGGCTCACCCAGTATAGAAGACAGCAACAGCAGGCTCTCCTCAGCAGCACAATTACATGTAAGTAATAAGGGGAGTCACACCATAAACTAGTAGGGCATGTAACACCTACCTTTCAAGTAAAACCTCCAGGGTCAATACATTGACTATACATTTGATCCCCACACCCAGACAGGTAGAATTGATTGTAAAAAGGTATAAACGTGTAGAATCCGTGGAATGCTTCACAAATTTTGTGTGTCATCCTTGCACAGGTGCCATGCTAATATTCTCTGTATTGTTCCAATTTAAGGATATGTGCTGCTCTGATGAGCGGTGATACAGGCAGGCACTGTGTGAAGGAGTGGTCAGCCCCTAATCACTGCACTTACTACCATGTGAATGCGCCAATATGGCTGCCAGGGATCTTGTCAAATACGTGATCCAAGATGACAACTGCAAACCTTCAAATGAGTCCTGAAGAGCCGAGGATTGGTGTGCGGCACAGTAATAACGCTGCCTAGCACACCAGTAAGGGGAGAAGCAAATAACACAACCCAGAGGGAAATAAATACACCAGAGCCCACCAGGAACATCAGCTCATTGGAACATAAGTGAGAGTGTGTGGGGCAGGCAGAGCCTGCAAGTGATAAGGGAAACACAGTAATGGGGCAGGCAGAGCCTGCCAGGAAAGAGAAAAATAAGGTACAGTGTGCAAACACAGCCTGCCAGAGAAAGGGAAAAACAGTAATGGCAGGCAGATCGGCAGTGTGTGTGTGTGTGTGTGTGTTTGTGACTGTGCTGTTTGTGTGTGAGGGTGTTTGTGTGTGTGTGTGTGTGTTTGTCCTGTGAGGGTGCTGTTTGTGTGAGTGTTGTGTATTTGTGAGGGTGCTGTTTGTGTGTGTGTTTGTGAGGGTGCGGTTAGTGTACTGTGTGTGTGTGAGCTGTATGTGTGTAGGTGCTGTATGTGTGTGTGCTGTATGTTTGGAGGGATTGTGGAGGTGGGGGCAGATTAGTAAATCCTTGCTGCATGTGCCATCCCTGGTGGTCCAGTGGAGAGTGAACTCTAGCCTGCTCAGATATCGCAAGAGGAACCTGGCGGAGCTTCAGTCTAGAGCTCCCTGGGTCCTCTCCTGCCTCCCTCCATGCTGCTGTGGGCTGGTGAGGTAGATCTTTGGTCTCCTGCCGGCCCATGGAGGCTTAGAGCAGAGCCGGGACTCAGATAGCGCCGGCTCTGCGTGAGCCGACAGGGTACAAGTCCTGTTGAATAAAAAAAATAATATACACGTGTGTGTGTGTGTATATATATATATATATATATATATATATATATATATTATGCGTACACACACTCACAGACACATTCACAGACACACACACACACACACACATTCACAGACACACACTCACAGACACACATACAAATTATTATATTTTAATAAAAAAATGTCCACCCAGCTTCCCTCCCTGGGGTCCAGTGGGGTGGGCGCCTGTCTGCATCTCAGCCGCGGTGAGGGAGCTGTCTGCTCTCTGCTTCCTCTTGCCGCGCAGGCTGTCTACAGTAGCTGGGAGCCAGAATATGACGTCATATTACGGCTCCCGGCATCAGCAAATGGCGCGTGGCGAGAGGAAGCAGAGAGCAGACAGCTCCCACACCGCGGCTGAGATGCAGACAGGCACCCGCCCCACTGGACCCCATCACCTCTTGCCCCCCCCATGACAGGGGCAAGAGGTGAGACAGGGGGCTGTTCCTGCAGGACTCAAACCATAGGTGTGCCACGGGGATTAGGGTGTGCCCAGGCACACCCGGCACAACCCGTGCGCACGCCTATGATCTCACACAGACACAAACTCCACAGAATAAAATAAAACAAACACCAGTCATAATACAGCAAACTGACACAATAATACACTATAGGGAGGCAGTGGAGAGAGCAGGAATTCTGACCTGTCCTTGTGGTGCAGCAGTAAAGAAAGAGGAGGTCCTTGGGTTCACTGTGCCTCATATATACATTACTTGTTTCTGATTGTATTTCTATGTTTCATTGCTGCTATGGACTTAAAGGGACACTCCAGGCACCCAGACCACTTCTGCCCATTGGAGTGGTCTGGGTGCCAACTCCCACTACCCTTAACCCTGCAACTGTAGGAGGAGCGTGGGCGGACCCTAAACCACCGCCGAGGGACATCAGCGGTGGTCTCAGGTAAGTCACTGAAGGGGTTTTCACCCCTTCAGCAACATGGGATGGGGGGTGGGAGGGAGAGGGGACCTGCAGTGCCAGGAAAACGATTTGTTTTCCTGGTACTGGACTGTCCCTTTAAGCAAAGAAAGATATGCAAAATATGTTGTAAAATGTATCTGCTACGAATTTGATGAGTTGCACCCTAAGGTAAACAAAGTGTGTTTTCACGTTGTTCTCTTTTTTATGGATGATAATGTCTCATACACACTGCTAAACAAATTAAAGATTGGTTTCCTAACAACGCAATGTGGTCAAGTGTTTTCTAAGATCTCCTGGGCCACCATATCAAAACAATGTGGAATCAATTGTGGGATATTCCTTGTGCAAATTGTGACGTAATTTTTTATCCCATTCTTCCCTTGGCACACTTCATGAAGAATGGTGCAATATGCCACTGCATGTAGTTAAGTATGTGTATGACATGTGCCCCTTGTTGGGTCCCTAATATTAAAGGATTGCTAGAGGGTCAGGAATACATGGTGTTAAAACCACCATCTAGCCCCCCTGGCCCCTCATGCCTGAAAAGACAGTGTTTACAGCAAATAGCCTGAAGGTAATGATTCTACTCAGCAGAACAAATTCAATAAGCTGTAGTTGTTCTGGTGACTATAGTGTCCCTTTAACATGATCACAAATGTGCATAGGGGATATGCTGTTTCCAAAGAACATCCTACAGGGCTCAGTTGCATCTTGCCTCCTATTTAGTTAACTAATTATATTTATTCTGTCCTTTTGAAATATCTCCTTATTAGGTTATAGTTGGAGATGATCATTTGCCTTTATAAAATGTGTTTATCACTAGATCAAACATCTTTGGTTTATTTCTGTTTTAGAACTTTGGCTAAGTTGGGAGTTTTTTTTACAGTTTCAGTGTGCAACAGTACCCTTGGCCTCCTGCACCAATCACCATGCCATCATTCCAGTCACCTTTTTGGCACAGAATACTACTACACCATACCTATTTATACTGAGCAGGATGCACATCATATTTCTGGGGAAAATTCACAATCAAGCCACGTTATTGGTGTCAGCTAAATTGGTAGATCAAAAAAGTAAAACAGGGCATACGAATGCGTTGATGCATGTATATGTTCTGGTTAAAGAAGAATGACACAAACCAATGTGCAGTCAATGCTATCTATATAAACCCTTTAGACACTTAAGTCTAAATACCCTTTTGGTTTTTTTTTCTACTCAATAGATCATTAAATATTGTCTGTCCATCTTGATTTACCGATTTGGCTATATTTATTTGGTTTCTGACACCAATAACGTGGCTTGGTTCCTAAATGTATCTATACCCCTTGGCCTCAGCTTGTTCCTGACTAGTCTACATAATTGCAGGTCACCTTTTTATAACCACTGCATTATTTTCTTATATCTACTAGGGCACTTTTGGATTTTAAATTTGTCTAAATAACCCTTTTAATGGATGAGTTTTCAATAAATAACCTTTTTTTAAGGGGCTACTCCAAGCACCATTCCCACTTCAGCCCACTGTTGTTATTATGAAGTTAGGAGTACCCTGGTTTTATTACCCAGTAAGAACATGGCATGACTGCTGACCATATTCTGTATTGCCTATTGGATGTTGATGCCAATCCTACCGGTCATTTATTGGCTGAGAGCATGTCCTGAGAGCACTCTCCATCAATAAATTAACCTATGTGCAAAGAAATTTACACATTATTGTCATTAGCCAGTGTAGAATGCTTGATCCAGGTTGACTAATGATGCTGCCCCAGGTGGAGTTAAAAACTAAAATGCTGCACACTGAAGTGGTCATAGCACTTGAAGTACCCCTTTAAAGAAAAAAAAATCTCTGTGTGTAGTGTATATCTGTAACTATGATGTGAAGAATTTGCATTATTGTGTGTATCAAATACTTAGATGTTCAGAGTCAATATTTTAGTCTTACGGTGAGTTTTTGATGTGATTTGATGCAAAGAAGCATTATAGAGCTTTATAGAGATTTTAGGCTAGCATTTTAAGAAAAGCAATCGAATAAAACATGAATATATACTAGAACATTAAATAATTCTAAACAAAAGCAAACACAAAGCCATTATTAACCATGTATTTTAAATGATCAATAGTAATATAAAAAAATTTTTTAGATATGTTTTAAAATCAACCCCACTTTAAATTATCGAATAGTTTAGAATTCAAACATTTGAAATTTAGAATTTTCAAGTTTATAGTTTACACACTTTAAACATATACTTTTTAACATATTTCAAATGTAGTAATAACAGCAATGAGCACGAAAGTGTTTTCACTATCACAAACACGATTTTAGTAGATTTTACCTGTTGATCTCTATCTTGAAAATTCTTATTTTGTGTGCCATCATCTTGGCACTTTTCATGTATCTTGTTAACACTTATAAGTGGAATAGTTGCTGTAGTGGAAAGCGGTTTCACGCTGGATCCATAATGTCCCTCAGCAGAAGAAAAAGAATGGTTGCTTTTGTCCATAGTTTCATCTTTGTCCTCATCAGGTTCCATGACAATGACAAATTCAGCTATGAAAAGGTCATTTTGATGCATATCCTCAAAGTTCCTTGTGGACTCTTCTTTCCCTGAAAAAATATGTTCTGTACTTGATTGTTTCTGAGCACCTAATAGATTTTCACCAGTTTTTTGGATGAATTCTTTTGAGGAGTACCCCGAATATGTTGCAGGCTGCCATGTGATTGGTAAAGAAAACATTCAGAATAATATTACTAGCAATTATAACAAACAGTAAAATAATAAAAAGTTAAGTATTATATTTAATGTTCTATTCAATGGATCATCTGCAGTATTGACATATTATTTGTCTACTATAAAAGAAAGTAACAGAGCTATTTATATGGTATACATATACACAGAATGTATAATGTATAGGTCTTTTATTATATGAGGGCTATTAACACAAAGACTGCCTATGCAACCCTGATTTGAATCAATATCTCTCTCTGGGTTAGGATGCTTTGGTTAATATGTGTGTGTTTTACTGCATGTGGTTTTTGACATCAAAGTTCCATGTGTTAATGTAATGAAAATAATCATTTCAACTATTCATTGATGTCACAGACCATGCATTAACTTAT